ACGGCCACTTCTTGAGCTCTTCATGCCGACATCTTCAGAACCGGGTAGTAATGCTGCTCCCCTTACGGTAGCTGCGCTCCTTTCCCACGTATTCGCAGCTCGACGTCCCAACACACAGAGCCAGCTCATCCTCTGAGATTTTTCCTCCAGGCTCGGGTCGCGTGCCACGAGCCTTTCTTTGACCACTCTCTTACATGACCACTCTCTTACATGACTTGGGTGACTCTTTTTCTTCTCCAGCACCACTGCAGCGCTTCCATGTTCCCCATGCACCTCATATTTCTCCTTTACTCGTGACACTCATGCTCAGGTCCTTCCATCTATCTGTCCCTTCTATATCAGCCCTCTCATGATACAGACCCACAGCTCTGTGGCTGGTTTGATATCGCAAACTTGGAACGTCCTGGTGAATTTCGTTCGCTATTCTCACGTTGATGCTCAGCCAAATGTAATAATATAGTTACACGACATCGGCAATGAAAGAGCATCATAGACGACGAAGACGATGAAGGCGACCGTGCTTGTGTTGTTGTTGCTGCTGTTCTTCCATCTTGGCTGCAGCTGCCTTTGACTCTCCCTGTATATTTTGTAAATATATTCATTGCATTCATCCTCTCACCCCCGTGACATTTGGTGGTAGTGCGGGGTACAACACAATATAACGGAGCTCCGCAGTGGCCGACGCTTGGAATTTTCCACCATGGCAAACCAGGGACCGGCTCCCGCCGAGGCGACTACAACAACAACTGTTGTTCTTCCGCAGCTAAAAGATCCTGGCACGTTCTGTGGCACGGATGATGTCTACATCGAAGAATGGTTGCCGTTGTACGAACGTACAAGTAAGAATTACCGCTGGGATGAAACTCTTATGTAAGCCAATATCCTGTTCTACTTAAAAAGAACAGCCAAAGCATGGTTCGAGAACCACGAAGATGAAATTGGAAGCTGGGATGCGTGCAAAGAAAAGATGCGCGCCCTTTTCGGCAAGTCTGTGGGTAGAAAGGCAGCGGCCAAGAAGGAGTTGGCATCTCGTGCGCAAACGTCATCAGAGTCCTACGTGACTTACATACAGGACGTGCTTGCCCTTTTCCGAAAAGCGGACAACGGTATGGAAGAAACCGAAAAAGTAGCTCCCATATTGAAAGGCATTGCAGATGATGCATTCAACCTTCTCATATGCAAGGACTGCAACACGGTCTATGCCATCATCAAGGAGTGCCAGCGTTTTGAGGCCGCAAAAAGTCGACGTATCGCCCATAATTTCACCTGACTACTAAAAACAGCAGCAACAACAACACGAGCACGGTCGCTTTCATCGTCTTCGTCGTCTATGATGCTCTTTCGTTGCCGATGTTGTGTAACAATATTATTACACTTGGCTGAGCATCAACGTCATTATAAACAGTAATGCCAATTAATAATATGCACAGTGCTTACAATCACCAACAAACAGTCCTTGTGATTTTAACGAGAGCCTGCTAGCGCGACTATCTTTCCCAGGAGAAGGGCAGGCATGCCAACAAACGATACCACGACAAGTTGTTCCGAGAAGCACCCCAAAAATGTGAATTGTCCGATAACAAAACCTACACATGCACAAAAATAATAATAACAAATAAAAAAATGAAAAGACATGACATAGTCAAATTGCCACAGGTATCACCAAATTAACTTTGGAATTTACGAAGTGTCCTTTAATTTTTTGCTGCACTTTATGTCTAAACCAGATGAAAATAATAATAACAAATAAAAAAATAAAAAGACATGACGTAGTCAAATTGCCACAGGTATCACCAAATAAACTTTGGAATTTTCGAAGTGTCCTTTAATTTTTTGCTGCACTTTATGTCCAAACCAGATGAAAATAAACATACCTACTAGTTTACTTTTTCGTGCTTCTATCAAATGCGCAATAATATCTCAGTAGATAAATAGGTTTATGAGATGCACAAAGCTGCCTCTCAATTGTTTCCAAAAACATTAGAAAAAAAAAAAACAGTTCAGCAGAAAGTGCATACCATTGGATAGCTAAGTACCACCATGTCAATCAACACAATGCTGCTAGCTATATTCAGATCCAATCATAACTAGTCATCCTGCAGATGATATAAATTTAATGTCAGCACCATGACTACCAAAAAAGAAAAAAAAAAATGATCAGGAAATGAGAACTCTGCTCTGAGCGCTTTATGATACGCAGCTTGGGCTTCACGTTAGAAAAGTAATAACAGGTGTAGCTGTTTTATGCCATGAGATATCACTCTGACAATTTAAGTCACCCAAGAACATTAAACATTCACCTCATACTCGTTGTATGGATCTAAACTGTGGAGGAAATTCTGATCTAGTAAAACCTAAGATAAACTTTACATGCAAAAGAATAACTGTAGGTTTGAATGATGTAATAAAAAAACTTTCTTCTTTGATGTTTTTTTTTTTTTTGGGTATCCACGAGCCATGTTTCCCTTCAACTTGTCACTGCAGGGCTCCGCTATATCTGCAAGTCATTCTCACTCAAACCTAAAGACAAAGCACCTTAATCGAACACACTAAAGGGGTGAAAACAGACCTCTTGAAAACTTCCTGAATTACATGAATTTGCCACCATGAAGGACCACCAGAAAAAAAAAAACAATGACTTCCCCTTTTGCTCTTCAAAAATAAAAGGTGTGGGTATCTTGAAACTACTGTTATATGAGAGTCAACATAATTCCAAGAACCTCAAACTCTATTTTCTTACACAAATACAAGAAATGCAAATGTTTGGATGGTTCATCCACACATGCTTGAAGCGCTTTGTGTTAACCAGCTGAGTAGCATACCAGAGTGCTTGCTAACAACTTCACGACACCTCATATTTAAAAAAAGGAAAATGGCATTTGACTTTCCTTTACTACACACATTACTGTTACATGTGTAACTCTCTTTGGAGAATCCTGCTAACTCTCTTTAGAAGAGTCATGGGATGTACAAGCCTTTTTAGATAGTCACATCAACTCTCTCTAGAAGACTTTGCATGTCACGACACAAACAGGCAGAAAAAAAAAAGTCACAGCTTTGCCGCAAAGGCAAAACAATGAACGCAATAGCAACAAATTGATTGATTGATATGTGAGGTTTAACGTCCCAAAACCACCATATGATTATGAGAGACGCCGTTGTGGAGGGCTCCGGAAATTTCGACCACCTGGGGTTCTTTAAGGTGCACCCCAAATCTTAGCACACGGGCCTACAACATTTCCGCCTCCATCGGGAATGCAGCCGCCGCAGCCGGGATAACGAATTGGAAGGTCACATGCAGAATGGAAAGCAGATTGAAACATGCCCCGCATTTCTCATGCACAAATGACACACGAAAAAGGTACAGATGCACGAGAATAAGCTTCTCAGTTGTTACTTCGCTGTGTCTGAAAAGCACGCGCTTTCCGCAAATGGAGACTGCAATAATTGCAGTGACCTTTATGCACCCGATCACTGCAACAGAATCGTTCTAGGTAAAGCCCGAGGCCAGCCAAGACGTACGTTCATCCCCTTCCTCCCAGCAATAAAGTTGTTTTCTCTCTCTCCTCTCCTCCCCACCGCAAGATAAGAGCGTGCAAGAGAGCGTCGCTCCCCTCCTCTATGAAGGGAAAAGTATGCGTGAAAGATTAGAGCACGCCTCGCCGATAAATGTGGCTCTGCGTGCTCATTGCACAATCTTGCTGGTAATGCTGAAAACACGATAAGTCCCGTCAGCACCTTGCAAGTGGTAGATATAAATAGCTTGCCCTCTGAACGGTGAAGAACATGCTCCTTGGTGGCTCAGTGGATTAACGCCTTGCACTCACGATTGAGAGGGCCCAAGTTCCAATTTCGCGCGCTGGAGTCTCTGTTTTTTTTTTTTCTTTTTTGCATTTCCATATATACAATACATATACATATACAGCGAGTGACGGCGAATTCGACGTCGACGGCAAAATCCAGCCGAGTGTGTCCATATAATTGCGCAATAAAAGAGTGTTCCACAGTTACCGCTATGGCTGCTCGCAGTGATGCCTAGCACATCATTATTTAAATGCACAGATATATCCCATAAAGTGGACGGGGATTTCCCACCGCCATAGCTCAGCGGTGAAGCATCGGGTGCGTTATTTGAAGGTCCCTGCCAGTGGCAAGTTATCTTTCCCTCCACTTTTATTTCATCGCAGTAACATTAAAATTACTAATAATAACGTCCCCTATATTTCCTTAGTATCATTGCCTGTTAGTCCTCAATAATAACATGCCTATTTAAAGTGAGTGATACATTATATGACTCTCTAAAAAGAGTTATAAACGTGTGTGGGGTCTGTAAATGACGAGCGCACCCCGCTCTTGAACGAACGCACTAGACACGGTCGGAACAACACACATTTATTTACCTACTTCTAGAACAATGCAATCGTCAGCCAAATTATTATACATATTGTGATCAACACGCTAAATAACCTTACACAATATTACACAATATTCAAAAACGTAACAAACACAAGAACACACTCCACTTACCACGAGGGCCCACCGCAGACGGCCCGCGGTGCCCACGCCTACGGCAGAACCCCCTCTAGGGACAAACGTTTGCACCAACCACCACCAGCCAAAGATAACCACTCATATCTCGTGCCCCGGCACCAAGGCTTGCCACTAGGCGTTACCGCTGGCGCTAGCGTTATAACCGTGATGATGATGGTGGTGATAACAATCGCTCACGAGCACCACGCCACCTACCGCTCAATAGTTTTAGCCCTGAATGCGACCTATGTGAGAGACTTTACAGGGGGTGTTACAACTTTACAGGGGGTGTTAGCTCCCCCACACATGACAGTCTCGTGCGTAGCAAAAAAAAAAAGTCAAACAACACTTTTTTTTTTTTCTCAGAGTGCAGTTGTCTGCTTAGCCATCACTTGAAGAAGTATCCACTACTGCTATGCAGATGCACAAACAATAGTTCAGCAAGCACAAAAACAACACAATTGACCTACTTGGCTCGGCTCTTGGCACCAGCCACCGTGTCACCTTGGTCCATTGCCATGTCGAAGAACTTCTCCAAGCTAGGAACAAAGTCCCGCTTGGGCGATGAGCATGCCTCCCAATTGTCTGGGCACAGGTTCCACAGCCGGTTCATCTCGGTGCTGCAAAGGCACTTAATATCACTTGTGACTCTAAAGAAAGCCGGCATCTTTGTCCCAAAATTAAATGACCTTCAATGTGCTTTCTATCTTTCAGCCAGAGACTTTGTTAGCCACACGGCTGTATACACCTGCTCCACAAAACAGGTGACAACATTGCTTTCTGGTTTATGCTATCGCTGAGCTTTGATGACACTTTCTTGCCAACCCCTATAAGTTTTGCTACCACGGCACTGAAGTGGAGATGTGTTGTTTCTCAAGATGTTTTTTTTTCAGGTTTAAAACAATTTATAAGCTGAATAATATCACTGTACGAGTATTCCAGAGCTTCACAATACATCAACTTAATATTGAAGATAATTTCTCCAACTAAAGTACAATGTAATGAAGCAGTCAAAATTATTCAAGGACTCCTACAATGAAAAAGCAGTGCAGCAACGTATTTAAAGCACTGAATTGAGTAGTGCTTCACAAGGACGATATGTGCTGATCCCATGGACAGATAGGTGGAGGTAAAAACATCTTCAAATCAGCTGCTGTGATTAAGCTATTCAATGGATGCAGGTTGTCATCTATCTTGTACTTCACTCTATCTGGGTCCTTAAGCTCAATGGCCACTTCCTTCCTTATGCCTGCAACTAAACTACTCTTCCCACACTCTCATTAAAAGGAGTCGCATGAACAGATCATGATAATCGCAAGAAATAGACATACTCGCCAAGGACAACTCTCTTGCTGGCCATTGCTGCCTTCACCTCATCGCCAAGTTTCCTCTTGGGCCTGTGGAGAGGGCAGCCACACTTAACATCATCTGCAGGACTCAAATCTCAATGCATGTAGCAAAACAAAAAATGGGAGTGAACAGCCTGATATAGTCATTTTCACAAGTTAAACTTCACAAGTAACCATGTGAGATTTAAGACCAAAAGCCCTTACACACAGGTGGAGTAGTGCCTTGCAGGCTTGCCCTCGTTAATCACTTTCAGGCACAACCTGTGGAAAACTGTCCGTAAATTTCTTGAATCGATACAACATTATTTCAAGATGCCCAATAGAACATTGCAACCAAAGTAATGTGACAATATGTTCTTCATGCATGTTACAGTAATACATCTTTATTAAGTTGCAGTTAAATAGCTATTTATCCTGCTCTGTTCTCGCACAAATAAGATGAAATCGAAGGATAAAAATGTATTAAAAGTTTGTTATGTCTATTTTGAGCTAAGAAAATCATGCTTTTCATATGACCCGCAGAAAGCGGCACGTCAAACAACTCGTCGAATATGGTAGTACCTTCAGCGAAGTGATCATATGCAACAAAGTACAATGCAAAATGAAGTTAAGTGAAGATGAATTTACTATGTGGAATGTTGTGAGGGTGCTAACACCCCCAGTAAGTCATTTAGCACCTCGTTGCACACGTGTTTCACACATATGCTGCATTTAGAATTCACAACTATCTGGTGGTAGGTGGCATTCTACTCGCGAGCGTTTATAATCAACATCATCATGGGTAGCTCGGTAGCACAGACAGTGATGCCTGGCGGTGAAGCTGAGTGGCGGCACATGAGAGATGAGCCGTCCTCTTTGGCATGTGGCGGCTGGTGCAAATGGTGGCCTTCTCGCGGCGGGTTCGCGGACGACGGCACTGTGGGTCGTTTTCCATGGGCCCTCGTGGTGAGTCGAGCAATTGATGATGCTGCCTTTGCAGTCACCGTGCTTGTTCTTATGCCAAAAGAGTGTATTAGAATATTGTATAAGGTTGAGTTTAGTGTGTTTAACACTAGTGATGTCTTTGGTTTGGCTGACGAGATTGGTGAGGTAGTTCAATAAATGTGTCGTTTTGCTTAGTCCGACTTGTCTACGATAGGAGTGATCTCATCAAGAACCCACAAGGCTTCCTTCGGCGTATCTAGCTCTTTTTTGATGCAAATGGCAAAAACAAGTGGTGCAAACAATTGTGTACATGGCATGAGAAAGAGGTGGGTACCTAATATTAATAGGGACAAGCATTTCTCACACGCAAATGTGCTGACGAGGCATTGATTGTCTCGGTGTTTCTTTTCACCACGGCCACGCAATGTGACTAGTAACAGTTTGCATAGCGCAGCATCAACTGCAGGGAGGCCATCGCACTCTGTTTTTAATAGTGATGACATCAGACACAAGGTAAATAGTTTTCCTTCGTGGAATTCACCGATATACTCTGTTTCTGGCTTCGAGACATAAATATTTCGTCGCCTTCTCTCTAAAATATGTTTCTATGTCACTTAGGCCACTGACGTTATAATGAAGTTCAAACATTCCACCCTGCAAAAGAGTGATGTGAAGAGCAAAAATTTGGGTACAAAGCAAATTCATATATTGAAGTGTGAATGCGAATCGAACAGAATACTTTTTAAATATTTTTTTAATAGTTCAAAGTGAAATCGCGGAAAAGTAACTTTAAGATGATTCGTAAGCCAATTTTTATGAGATATAGTGACATGAAAGCCTTACTGATGAAGCACTTGTACTTCGCACTTGTCTTATTAAGCCTGAGTAACCAGAGTTTGTCCTCGCTTGATCGGCCAGGCCCTATAGTTTCGGTGTCACCGTGAATCACTTTTGCCCACAAAGACGTGCTTGCGGTACCTGGTGTAGTACTTCTCGCCCATAAAGTGGATAAGCCTATTTGCCCCCCCCCCCCCCCTCTTGCAACGGGCACTGTACTGTTTTTGGTGTTGCCGCAGGCAATAGTGTTGTGACCTGTTGAGAGCAGTACTGTGTTCTTGCCACGCTGCGCCGAATGCGCGTGTGCAGAGACGACAGTCAATGCGTGGCCTGTGGCTCGCTAAGACTGAACCCACGCTAGAGGCTGTACTCCTTTGGGATACATGTACATAACAAGCTTGAAAGGCAGATTTATCGCTGTGCAATTTAAAGCATATTATAGATCCGAAATGGTCATTTTCAATCTGACGTGACGCCCTTGCGTGTGAAAGGTTCGCATAAAGCATTGGTTTGCAGGGATAAGTTTTGATGCCTTCTTTCTTTGCCTCAGATGTGTATCTCCTCAGTTGTTAATAGGTCTTTGCAATACTGAGGGCAACAGTGCAAAAAACGGGACAGAGAAAGATTGAACACACGACACAAGCGCTTTGTAATGCCTTGACTCCGTGTGTTTGCATGTCCCATCTTCTAGAATGAATAGTGAGTCAAGCCAGTGGAAGTTGCGCACATTTGTGCTCAGTGAGCGAGAGAAACCTGTACCGAGCCCACCTGACTTCTCGCGCCTGTTCCATAGGACGGGCCTCCTTGAAGTCTGGGCAGCCTTCGTTTTTCCAGGCGTTCCACGACTCCTCCCTCTGAAGAATGTGCTGCACAGAGAATACTGTCAAGCCATTTTGCCCCTTACTCAAGTTCAGCCTCAAAAAGTTACCTTGATGCGAGTGGCAAATCCAGCCCCATCAGGTGGCGTTTCTTCAAGCAGCTGCAAACAAGAAAAAGAAAAAACATCCTGCAAAAGGCCTGCAAAACGATCGAGAAGACCTGCAAAAGACCTCAGAGAACATAGACGCTCTTTGAAGAGCACCCCTCAATCTTCATTTAATGTTGAACTGTGATTCGTGCATGGGCCAACCGCAGCTTGAAAGTTTTTTGTACCAGCACCCTCTTCAAATTATATGTGCGATTTCCGAAGTGTATAGCCTTTCCACGAATGCAGTTCAGTGTATAAGCTGCTGACCTTTGTTACAACACGACTGTGCGTTCAACTGCATAAATAAATCATAGACAAAAGCCTCAATTAGACGCTTTGCAAGCTGCCCGTACTGTCAACTAGTCTTTTTGACCTGCACACAATTATATATAAATGTGTTCCTCGTAAATAAACCAGCTGTTAGTGAGCACTCGTGTTATGTTGTATGGTTCTTCCTTCGTCCAATGTCTGTTCCTGTACTCTCGATTTGTCGAATCATCAAGAAAATCCTATCCACAGCAAACAACAATGAACATGTGCACAAAGCATAAAAAGCTTTCATCGAACTTGCTGTCTCAATGCATAAATAGCTTGTAAGAGTGAACGACTGGGTCCATTGGTATTGCGTGATTCACAATTGGTAGGCACACAGAAGATTACTACGTCGTCTTCTTTGCACATACTATTTCAAATCATCAAAGTGGAAAACAAACTGCGCTACATCAAAACACGGTAAATCTCACGTGATTCAAACATACTCTTAAACATAACCTTGTACACAATTCTGTCGAATGGATTGTTAGTGGAAATTTTTAAGAAAACTGTAGCGTTAAGAAAAAAACACACAGACACAATTCACCTTCATGAAATGTAAAATTCCTTCTGTGCAACAGTTTTCTTTAATAGTACTCAATCGTGTGCCAATTCAAGACCCATTGCTTTAGGACGCTCAGTCTATACAAAGTTGCTTAGAAAGCCTACAAGCTTGTCCTCGGCGTCTGAACATTGTTACGAAGAGATTAAGTAAAGGAAGAGAAAGAGTCAAAGAAGCCAAGAAGTATATAAGTGTGCTGATCAGCCATCATGATGCTTACTTTTCCTTTCCCCCAGAAAGTGGGTATATCCTATCAGGGCCAGTCGTGGACTGAAAGTCCTGCCATCCAACCAACTCTCACAGAGTTTCTTTGAGCGGTCCAGGCAGCTAACTTTGAAGGACCCTTGCCAGAGTGGAAATCTCATTTTATTCAGCGTACCCAAGCCCAAAGGAAACTAGTTTGGATAACTTAAACAACATGTACCTATCGAAACAATAAATTCTGTTTACCAACCCAAACTGACTGCTCTACAGAGAGACGCCATATGTCACGCATACAGCACAGACTTACCTTGTAAACCTGAGTCAAAGTGTTCTTCACCCAGCTGGACTGCTCATCTGTTAGAATGTGTGTCTCTCTGGTGACAAAAACAACCCATGTGACAAGTTAGGCAACAATGACTAGTTGCACGTAAAAATGTAACAGGCGAGAAAATCGTGGCAGTTCTGGGTAACACTTACTTAAGAAGAGTTTTCTCCAAAATCACATATCTTTAGTTTTTAACTGCTTTCACAAGTGTAGCCTTTCTACTTTCTCAACAAAAAAACTGAGGAGTTTAATTAACTCGAAATAGGCTAAAATCGCTTTCAAAGAGCACAAGATGACTACTAAAAACCATAAAGTGCCCATCTCTAGAGTCCCCTGAAAAATGTCACTTGGCTGCTTGCCATCGCATTTCGCATAAGGGGTTTACTAAAGCCGCATGCTAAAAATAACCGTCATCGCCAAGCTCTCATGACGGAGTAAGTCATCTCAAAAAACGTATCTTTTCTGCATAGATGAGCTTTCACTTGTACCTTTAAAATGAGTCTTTCTCAAGATGCATTATTGGGCAACTTCCTGATTTTGGGCATCATGTTCTTGGTATTTCTGATGGCTTAATCATGATGAAGTTTTTCTCACATATTCTTTAACAGAGTGCAAGTATCTCCTTTAAAAACTTGACATTACCTGTATAATTATTGCATACCCAAAGTAAACAATTAGTATGTGCTGAGGATTCCAAGCATTCGCATATTACAATTTTTTTGTCCATCAAGATGTCCTACATGCACTTTCTTGACAGTTGTTTGCATTGCACACTTAATGTAAAGCAATATGAGCCATTAATGGCTCAGAACCATAAATGTTTAGTGGCATAAAGAGTTTGTCCAAAACGAGCTATACGTTACACACTGTCATGGCGTAAAACTAAAACTGTGCAACTTACTATAAAGCTAATTAAGTCAGCATAAAAGCCTTATTATACAGCGATAATTCCGTTGTCTATTTGAAGTCAGCATAAAAGCCTTCTTATACAGCGATAATTCCGTTGTCCTAGTGTACAAATTAACACAACTTGTTATTGAATCACATCTCCCCTTAAGATGGGCATGGGGCAATGCACATCATCTCACAACTTTGGAGCTCACCATGCCTTCTGAGAAGCGAAAGTGGGCACAGCTAAATGAGCACTTTTTTCTGCAGATAGTAACAATTTAACGGTATTATGACAAAACAAGATCCCATTCAGCCCAATTTGACCACGTTTAGCCCACGGGAGCTACAAGCCTTCTTTTCTTAATTTTTTAGCACTGTATTAGCTCATGCCCATACGAGGTTGTTAAAAGTGTGCAAATACAGACAATAAAGAGTGCAGTCAAGACACCACAGATGCCAACTGGCAACTGAAAAAAAAAAAAAAAAAGAGGGGACACTCAATAGCAGAAAAGAATGCAAACACAAAAACAAAAACATAGACACAAAAGCTCTCTACACAAGACATTTAGTCTCTTCAAAGTCATCCTCAAGAGCTGTTCATGATAGGATTGATGATTGAGCAATATGTATCCAGTCTACAAAACTTCTCATCAGTAATAAACATATGCGTGTTCTTCAGCCCAGCAGATATTGGGCACTTTTTTGTGTCACGAAGAAGGCTATGAAACACATAGCCTTCTCTCTTTCTCACCCAATACAACACCTGCAATGCTTTCATTTCACATCTCCCTCTTAAAGGGGCACTAAAGAGCAAAACGCTCCATCACGTATTCATAAGGTACAATTTCACAATCTTGAACACACCATTCTTACTGCAACACGACGCTTGGTAAGCGAGAGAACATGTGAAATGAGACGGCGCCTTGCGATTCGCGCACCAAACACTGACGTCATCAATTTTCTAAGGTGTCTACTCGGTCCTACGTAGCTTTTAATCTACAAAACTGTAGTACATTATAATCTGTGGGTGCCACAGGCTTAGCATAAGAAGCCTCAAAAAATTTCACCGAGCCTATATCGTGAAAATAGGAAAAATACATTGCGGAATTTCCTACGTCACGCGCAGAGATTATGGCGCGAAATTTGAAAATGATACTTGCACCTTGACTTTCTCTGCTAATAATGAACTGATGGCAGAGAAACCCATGAGGTTCTCAAAGTGCAGTTTGTGAGTCTAGATCAACTCATTGTTCCTCTATAGCTTTTGAGGAAAGAAATGTAAAGTTCACTTAACAGTTTGAAGCGCACGGTGGACTGAAGGTATTGGAAGAGGATCAAGAATTGCACCAGGACATAGCGACGAAAGTTGCTGTCACTCAGCTCCAACTCCAGAAGCTGCAAAGAAGACCATTCAATGACACTTCCTTCCTGTGTAAGTCTAAAAAAAATGGCCATGACACCACGAAGTCCAACAAGGCATGTCTAGTTAGCTCCTTAGCAATACATAATGTACACTTACCTAAAATGAGCTATAGATTTAACTTTCATAATTACTTACTGGGCCACAATGGCACAAGTATTGATGAAATGCGTAAAGAAAAAATTTAGTCAAATTGGTGTTGGTTCATGATAAAGGCAATACGGCACACAAGAAAAAACCAGTCATTTGTGTCCATCTTTTCTCTGCGTGCCGTATTTTCGTGCCCTTCTGTTTGCCATTAGGTACCAAAACTTTGTAAGTGCCAGTATGGCCTCTGTTTTATGTCTGATTGATAAACATCCTCCAACTTAAAGTGACTACTAATCAGTTATTCTAGGAAGGGGAGACTGCAATTATAAAGTTAACTCCACTTATTTCATCACCTAGTTGAATGAAACTATATATATTTATTGAGCTTTATGAGCTAATTTTAGGCACCAAATTAATTACTCCCTAAATATGTGCATCAGTAATTCCAACAAGAATTAGTAATCAATTTCTACTGTTCTCAAAGAGGTCCTGAACCACTTTTCCAAGTAGTCATCGATTCACCTCAGTATCGTAAATTATTCTGCCTTGAATCGATTGCTACAAAGAACGGGCGGAGATGTTGCCAGCTTTATGCACTTTCTTTCTCTCTCTTTTTTTGCATACACGAGTGTGCTGGAACACAAAGGGATGACAAAAAAAAAAAAAGCTACATCATGCCCGCAGTCAAGATCTTATAGACACACGGTCACTCTCTCCAGCTGTATTTCCGGAGCATGCTAATGCTGCAACTGTGACATTTTAGCGTGCAATAGAGTGTGGTGCCCAGTACATGGTGCCACACCACAACAAGAAGCACATCTGATCCAGACGCTGCTTTTGATTTATGCCAGCTATCAACCAATAACAGCACAAAAATTGACAACTGATTTCTAGGGCTGTGCAAATATTAGAATGAATAGTAGAATATTAGAATCTGCTTCGGTTCTAATTTAAATTATCGAAAATTTCGAACTATTCGCAATGAACGAATAGATGTATAATAATCCGCATGTAACAGCCTGTAAATGTAGTTTCACTGCAGCGTTGGAGTGCTATGCCGTGAAAGCACCCATTCAATAAAAATAAACATTGCCGCGAAGCCCCTTTTCAAGTATAAAGGGGCCCAGCAACACTTTTCGAGCATGGTCAGAAAATGCTCCCGATTGGCAGTTGAGGCTTCTGAGAAACCATGAGCCAAATATTAGAGCACAGCACGCGTCCTTCATTTCACAATAAATTCTCAAAGGCAGCTAAAAATTGCTCTCTTGTCTCGGCAAATGACACTACAAGCTCAAAAATCACTTGTCACAGCCATTGCATCAACCATTGGCTGATTTGAACATGGTGCACTCAATCATCACTGGGACCGATGCGAGAGGCCGCGACTTGTCCACGCGTGCACGCACGATCACGCTGAAAAGCCGCATATTCGAAGAAAAAAAAGGGGGGGGGGGGGTGGAGGGTGCTCAAGGTCACGAGGTGCATCTGACGCATTTTCTTTCGCGGTGCCACCCCAACCGGCTTGGCTTCCAGCGCCTTTGTCGGGACGAGAAGAGAATGCGATTGCAGTGTGTGACAAAGCTTCGCAACGCTGCTTGTACCAGATGGATTCTAAAAATTTTTGTGGCGAATTCCTGAGGCAATAGGCTTCTATAACTAATCTATTCCATGGCTACTTCAATAAGTGTTTCAGGGCTCCTTTAAATGAATATATTGCCCTCAAATCAATTCATCATATTATTAAGCTTAAAAGCTTGTTATGACGACATATGTTCAAAGTATAATAAATTTTAAAATGTTACGTATTCTACGAGCTTTGACTCGCACCCTATCAAAAGTCGCATCCTACTACCAGTCAGAGTTGCTTAGACTTTTTTTAACGAAAATAAAAGGGTGGGGGGGCATTTGCATAGAGGCCTTATTTCAATATAAAAACATATTGCGCAGGTTAGTTAGGTCATGATAAATATGCCAATTTTTCTTTGTATGTCATATATAGTATACAAGTGCGTTTTCAAATTATTCGACCAAAATTACTATTCCCTTCAGACCCAAAAATCACTACTCACACAAGCCTACTGATTTCCTTTTGCTGCCACAAGGAAACTATCAAATGGAGGGATAGCCACGGGGTTCCACCAAAAGCTACATGACTGCACATTATGGCATTTCTTACTTGACCTCACTGGTCACTACATCTGGTTTAGTTGTGCACAGCACGAAAGGACACCCTGCAGGTGGCCGCAGTAACTAACTTTGTTTTAAAGGGGCACTGATACTTGACTTTTCTCTTGTCGTCTCTTTTTTTTTTTTTTTTTAGTCATGTGGTAGACCACAGCCCCGGGGGGCGTAGAAAACGTACCGGTAAGCATGAGTGCACATTGAAAAATTATTACGGCATGCTTTTAAAAGCTAGTTCCAGTTCCTACTGTACCCTGACATCACCATTTGGTATAAACAGCGCCATCAGGCGGTAGCATGTGCGCGCAAGTTCTCGTGACGTATCCTCGTCCGTGTGTCACTCATTTGATCATCTGCTTTATCTACTGCGCGCCGCACATGTGGCAACTGTCGCTGCAGGGGGGCACAACGTTGGGTTGCCATTACTTATAAGGCACAGGTTCTTCGTAGACAATCCGAAGTCGGTCATTTTATACGTGTACGCATCTGAATTCAGGGTAGATGCTACTCGAAAAAAGTTTTATTTTTTAACCCAGCTTCTTGAAATTTTAGGTGTTAGTAAAGTTTTCAGTGCTAATTTCATAACTGTAATTAATTTTCTGATAGCTACAGCAGTTCCAGAGTTACTACAACTTTGATATCAAAATATAGGGTTTTTTGTGCACACATTAAAGCTTACTAAAAATTTTCACACAAAATCGTAGAATGGCTCATTGTGCGGCACTTGAACAGTAGAATAGAGAAAAGTACCTCAAGTAAGGACTTCTGTTGCTACGTCTCAAAAAAAAAAGTTTAAGGGTACTAAATGCACATTTTACATCTCTCTATCAGCATATCAAGTTGTGTAACAAAAAATCTGAGATGTATATTGCAACCTGAAGTAGATACTCGTATTCTAGAGTGGCTGATTAAGCTCTGTGCAAAATTTCATCAGGACTATATCATGAGTAAAAAAGTTTGTGCACAAGTAGAGCAAATTGCCTCAAAATAGAAATTGAGAAAAATGCATTTGAAAGTTATTTATATGTTTACTCATGATTACACAGTGCGGTTCGCACAAAACTTTAGCACTCAAAATTGTCCTTCTGCATATGTAGTACCTTCTCACCGCTTGAGAAGGGAGTCATTGAGGCGTGCTTTCTTGGCCACGTTGCGACGATGAGCCCTTACCTCGGCTGTTTCACACGCAGACATTCTTTTGATTCTCGTCTGGTCGGGGGATTGGCCCAGGGTGATCAGTTGATCTGGTGGCACTACACCAAACTCTTGTAGCACGTGTTCAAAGCTTAAATGTCCTTTATTAAACCAGCAGCACGGCCATAGCAGCTGTAGTTTTCACTGTTGTCCGGGAGGCAAACTTCGTCTTCGGACACAACAACCAAATTTTGCTATTCAAAGATTCTGCAGCGTTTTGGGTTTTTCCTTGAATACAGCGTACCAGCAACTTTTCATCTGTGAGGCGCTTGTAAATGGGAAGCACAGCCAATCTTGAGCCTTGGTCAAGATTGGCATGACGATAGTTATAGCGCGAGAACAAAACGATGACACAGAGATAAGATTTCGTGTCCTTCTTGTCTCTGTGTCGTCGTTTTGTTCTCGCGCTATAACTATCGTCATACCATACCAACTAGCCCAAGCTGCCACACTTCCAAGATTGGCATGTGGTCGGGTGAAGCCTCCCCACCCCACCACACGCCTATGCATGCACCAGGAAGTCACCCCTTCTGGACAGTATCAGGTGGCTGCCTGCAGTTGCTCGATGATGAGTGGAAATACGAGGCCCAGATGGCACTATGCATTTTCAGAATATCACCTCTGTTGTTTGTGATTGCAATACGGTGTGGGGCTGCTGACAGCCCTTGCAAAGTTGTTTGCGCCGTGTGGCGCACAGGTCTCGCCCCAAGGCCAGCAATTTGAGTGACGACCGCCGGGCGATAGATGGCGTTGTGTTCGCGTGAAGTACCACTGTTGGTAGAGTGGTAGCTCCGGCGGTGACCCCTGGCGGAAGGCAGGCCTTGGTAGCGGGTGAGAGTGGAGCGAGCCTTTTCTGCGCGTGGCGGCTGCCGCGAACGGTCGTCTCTTGCAGTGGGTCTGCCGTGGACGCACCGCGAGCCGCCTGCGGTAGGCCCACGTGGTGAGTCAAGCGTTGGCGACGTTACTTTGGGTGTGTTAGTGTGTTTGTCATGTTGTGTGTTTATCGTGTTATTGTGTAATGATGTCCTATTGCATTACATAATCAGTTATGTACCAATTCGGTGTACAATATTGTCGTCTAAATTAGTTAAATAAATGTGTATGTGTTTGTTGGTTTGTACCGACCGTGTCTGCTGTGTCCGTTCACTCCAAGAGCGTAGAGTGGCGCGCGCTCGTCTCATCGAGACCCCACGACGGTAATAGTTCTGCAGCTTCTGAATTGTGCCATCTGTCAGCTTCTCTCCTTGTGGCAGTCGTGTTGGCAGTTTCCGAAGAGCAGTGCCTAGACGCTTGGCCACATGATTTGTGCACTCCTCCTTGTCCACGACAACTTCACCATATACCTTGGCCTCAGTGACAGCGGTGCAAGCTTTGCTGTCCCCATCAATGACAAACTTGGTGATACGCAATGTGTATGAGGGTCCATATGTGCAAAGCTGCCTCAGTCTCCATGGCGTGAGAAGAGCACTCTGTATTTTTTTTGCAGACAGGAGTGTGGAATGCTTGCCAT